TTCTACCGTATCTCTCTAAAGTAGTGGAATCGATTCTGAAAAATCAGATTAATGAGTACGTCAACGAAAATCATATTATAACATCTGTACAATCAGGATTCAGACCTCAGCATAGTACCACCACGGCTCTTCTGTCAATTACTGACGATATTTTTCAAGCTGCAGATGAACAAATTTTGACCTGTTTAATACTTCTAGATTACAGCAAGGCATTTAACACTCTAGATTCTAGATCATGAGATATTGTGTGACAAACTTGTCCACTTCGGTTTTTCTCGGAAAGCAGTGTCTCTTAGAAAACTATCTGAAGAATCGTACTCAAAGAGTTGTTGTAGATGAAGTTATTTCAGATGCTCTGCTAGTATTAAAGGGAGTACCACAAGGATCTATCCTTGGGCCCTTGCTTTTTAGCTTGTATATTTGTGACTTTTATCTGTCCTTGAAAAAATGCAATATACATCACTATGCAGACGACACGCAGTTATATTTCTCTTTTTCGCCTGGCGAGTCTACATCTGCTCTGTCGCATATTAATAACGAGCTCCAAGCCATCTTTGATATTTCTACTGCCCATAAGCTCAAGCTCAATTCAGACAAATCCGCAATAATGATGTTCGTAGCTAAGAAAAACAGAGAGCTCACCAACTCTACCTTTCAAGTTCGCATCGAAAACGATTTACTTCCCTCCGTGGACGAGATAAAAAATTTAGGATTGTGGTTTGATCTGGATCTTTGCTTTACTAAGCATGTCAGCTATCTGAACCAATCTTCTTATAACGTTCTCAGACAGCTTTTTCCTAATCGTGATTTGCTCAACACAAACTTAAAACTTATACTATGCGAGTCTCTGATTATGTCAAACTGGGTATTATTGGAAATATGATGTGAACTAATTTATTCAGTTCAGAAAATCTGAATATTACTACAGTTTCAATAATAAAAGCAAGTAATTTGCCTATTTATTTTAGGAATTTTTGGAAATGTCCCTCGTTATTTTGTATACGTGATCTCACTTATGGACCAATAAAATTTGAGTTCTTCTTGCACTTTCGTTTTTAATTCTCCTAGAGTCGTTACAGGGATTGATAAAAACGTACATAAAAATGTAGTGGATGAAAATTAGTACTACGGATTTTGTAGTATATCCGACTCGTCAGCTTGTAGTGAAGCTTCAATCATCATGCTCTTACCTTGAGTGAGGTGTGGTACTGTCATACTTGTATCATAAACTGTTCTGTTGGTTTCCACCATTACCGATTTTGTAATATCCCAAAAATGTATACGCCATAATTCCATGAAAAATATTTGTATTAGGGGAATGTTGAAAATGTTGATCTCGTCTGTGAATAATATTTTCATCACGACGATGTTTTTCAGTTACAGAAGTCAAGTCTCTTTTGCTGAACTCCAGCCTAATTTATTGTTCATTCAGAAATGTGTACGAACAATTTTTTTTTCAGGCATCTGCACACAAACCTATTTCACAGTGACATTGAAAGAGAGAGGAAAAATAACTACCCTTTGAAGGGTTATGGGGTAGCCTCTCCTAGGCTTTGTCTGTGTATTTGATTTAGACATAGCCTAACTGAGGTTAACTCAGGCCCAGTATTACTTCAACCGAATGAAGATATCCAATTAGACAATTAGAGCTGAAGAGCCTGAAAATCCCGAATATTTGGACCAATCATGATAAAGGGAGTTTCTTTATCATTATTCAGTCATCATATAAATTCAACGGCTTACTTGTCAACTTAATTCAAAATTCACAACAGTGAAACGTCAATCAGTTACGGCTGATAAAAAAAAAATAGAATATCTGTGAACGTAAGTGTAATATGGTGTAATATCCTAGTTGGTAACCGGAACTGTTCAATGTTGAAAAGTACCCGAGTCAATGAAATTTTTATATTGTTGTTAATAGTAATAATAAAATGCTATGAAAATTATATGATTCTATTCATCTAGGTATGTAAAATACAACATCATTTTCTACTTCCCAACAACAAAAACTGCTTGATTCTGAAAATTTTGTGTTTTTCTTAAAACAACAAGTGATCAAGATACCTTTTGACAATTACCTATTCAAAAATACCAAATTCATACCCGTCATCTGCCAATTGTCACTCTCACCCCAATAAAACCATTGGTTTACTATTTTGACATTTGGTTCACCAGTTTTCAGGAAAATGTGTTCTATATGTTACTGGTTTTTTAAAAGAACCTCAATAGCATAGCACCAAACCACATTTTTAGTTATTTTTAGAACATATCTTTACTGAACTTTTAAAATGATTGAATAAAATGTGGTAATTGAAAGTCTATGGTTAGATGGATAGGACATTAATCATTATAAAATTAAATATGTTACCTTGAGCATTTCATGTACATTATAACACCAAACAATTTGAATCGATATCTTGGAAGGTATCGAAGTTTCACCAATTAGGTTGGTGAAACTTAGTGAAAAAATCGAGAAGAGCATTTCTTTTCTGGTGATTGGCAAAAGTGCTTGTTTTGGAGGTGTATACTCACCTATTCAAAATTTAAATTGCTAGTTTTGAACATTTTATTTGAGTAATCGATAGAAAAGCTCCAAGGGTACTTTGAACAATCAACATATCACTATTGTTTTCTTTCTCAAAAAAACTTAAACATAACTTAAGAAAATACTTGTGGATATAGTACTTGAGCTATTATAGTTGTTTGTGAGGAAACGTTTCTTCGTTTTTGCTCACATCAATTTTGGGAATGAACATGAAAGGTAATGTTTTAGGACATCAACGTCCACATCGTCCTTGTATACAGGGTGTAACTGAATAAGTGTAAAACATTTAAGGAGGTGATTCCTCATCGAAAAAAAGATAGGATCTTTCATATAAAGAAACTTCATTGGAGCATCCCTTGTTAAGATACAGCCCCTTAAAGGGGGTACATAACATTTGTATAACAATTTTTTTCACAAGCACTGAAAAAGTTACAATATTGAAATTAACCTGACGTTTTGTACTACCAAAAAGACACTTAGCCAGTAATTTATTTGGTTTACCCCATGGTTGTAAGGGGTGGAAAACGCAACCCCTAACATTTATTTCCAACGTAACTTTTTGTCTTATTTGTTTACCATTTAAAAATTTATTTCCGATAGCCTGTTTCATTCTAAACAAAAAATGTCTCTTGGGTTTTTTGCCCAAAATAAACCAGTTCGCAGCAAAAAATTATTTTACGAACAACTACAAACATACATCGTCATAAATGCGAACTGGATTTATTGTTATTTTGTAGTTAGTACCTGCATTAAACGATTAAAGGGTAATAAACAAAACTAATTTATTAATAACAAAACACACAACATGTAGAAATCATAGTAAATGTTCAATATGTCTACCTTCAGACATTACGCATGCGTCTAGATGTCGGCGCACTGAGCCACGTATTCGCTCAAATATTCCTGGAGTCTCTCTGATTACCCTGCACGCATTGATGATGCGGTTTCTTAAGTCCTCTACATCGCGAACAGGAGTACGATAAACCAAATGCTGTAAATGGCCCCAAATAGAGAAATCGAGAGGATTGAGATCCGGGGATCGAGCGGGCCAGTTCTGTGGTCCTCCTCAACCTATCCACTGATTTGCATATGTTTCAGTTAAATGCTGACGTGCTACTTGACTAAAATGGGCGGGAGCCCCATCATGCATAAAAAAACATATCCCTTCTGACGCCCAAAGGAACTTCCTCCAGCAATACTGGAAGCACTTCTCTTAAAAATTGAACGTATGCCTCACCATTTAATCGAGGAGGTAGAAAATAAGGCCCAATTAAATCATCTCCAATAACTCCGTGCCACACGTTAAGAGAAAACTATTCTTGATGGTTAGTTTCAACAATAGCGTGAGGGTTTTCAACAGCCCATTTGTGGTAATTATGAAAATTAATAATCTTGTCCCGAGAAAAACTACATTCGCCTGTGAATTCTATCGTCTCCAGAAAGTCACAATTTCTTCTAATCATTTTCAGCATCCAATTGCAAAATTCAAGACGGTTTGGAAAGTCTCTTGATGAAGTCGAGCAAATATTCTATGTGAAGGATGCTGCCATTGAGGATACATTTCAGCATATCTTCTAGAAGCTTCTAACATATTGCCCTGCGACAGACCATAAACGTAATGCATATCAGTCATTTCCTCATTTGTGTATGCCATTTTAATAACAAGTGAATTCTTAAAGTAACAAATTAAGAACAGAACATCAACACACAATTAGTATTAATTCAATTTCGAAAATTCACAAACTGACAGCGTCATACCAATTTAATTGTCACTATCGCTAATAGCGACCTACTAGATACATTAGTTTCGTATTTTCGCATTTATGACGATGTATCTCTGTAGTTGTTCGTAAAATAATTTTTTGCTGCGAACTGGTTTATTTTGGCCAAAAAAACCAAGAGACATTTTTTGTTTAGAATGAAACAGGCTATCGGAAATGAATTTTTAAATGGTAAACAAATAATAAGACAAAAAGTTACATTGGAAATAAATTTTAGGAGTTGCGTTTTCCACCCCTTACAACCATGGGGTAAACCAAATAAATCTCTGGCTGTCTTTTTGGTAGTACAAAACGTCAGGTTAATTTCAATATTGTAACTTTTTTAGTGCTTGTGAAAAAAATTGTTATACATATTTTACATACCCCCTTCAAGGGGCTGTATCTTAACAAGGGATGATCCAATGAAGTTTCTTTATATGAAAGATCCTATCTTTTTTTCGATGAGGAATCACCTCCTTAAATGTTTTACACTTATTTAGTTACACCCTGTATTTATATTGAAATGTATTTGTAAGTATTTTTGATTCAAGCTTCAAGATTGACAAATATAAAGAATGAATAACAAAGGACTCATATTTCTTACCTGTTTGGAGTCATTTCTATTCATTATTCTGTTCAATTTGATGCATTTTCGAATGTTCCATGGTCCATTTCAAGTATTGAAAAAAAAGAAATGAATGAAAAATACAGTTTATTTTAACATAGCATGTAACAAAATCGAGTGATAACTCTCATACTCCTTAAAAATACTCACAGCTTTGTTTCCTATATAATATAATGTAAAACTAATAATATGCTCCCCATCCAACATACATTTGACAGAGGTTATCAATGTTCACAGCTTCATTTATTAAATAATTCGTTTGACCTTCGACAGATAAGGGCGTCGATATGGTCCTATATCTTGCTCTTCCTTGAAGTCTCAATTCTAGATTTTTAATGTGATCAAGAGCCTGAAATAATCATTACTATAGGATGGCGTAGTAACTTTGTGAAAAGACAATGATACAAATTAATGAGTTGTCAATCTATTATGTTGTTTCAAAAGTTTTGTCCATTTTTATGAGTCTACTTCAGACTCTAATATTTCGGTGAATACTTCTTTAATTTAATTGAAATAGGCAACATTTGAATCATAGCACTTTTGCCAATGTAACACAAGTCGATTAACTTCGTCAGCATAAAAATTGAGTGCTCGATATTTAGTTGAGTTCATGAAGGCCGTTTATGCCTGGTCCTAATTGGTGACAGTTCTACCGGTGATTTGTGAACCGTGCGGACGGGCGTGCGTTGTCGTGAAGCAGGATCGGACCTCTTCTGTTGACCAATGCCGGCTGCTGCTGACGCAATTATTGGTACATTTCGACAATGTCCTCATAATAGGACTCTACTGTGATGGTTTGGCCTGGTTGCAGAAAGTTATAGTGAATCACGCCAGCCGCTGACCACCATACAGTGACCACGGTCTTTTTTTTGGTGGTGGATTCATAGGTGTCCAACCACTTTCCCGAACGTCTCCTGTTTGTCGTTGATGTCCTATTTTTATCACACATGGCTATCCGATCCAAAACAGAATCGTTTTCGATGACCTTTCCAATATGTTTTAAACCATCCATCAGAGTCCTCAAATCCTCGTCCGGGATTACTTTAGGTCGACCACTTCGGGACTCGTCTTCGAGGCTAAAATCTCCGGAATGAAATTTCGCAAACCAACGTCAACAGTGCATTCATTAACACTATCATTGCCAAATGCCCAGTTGATTTTTCGGACTTTTTCGGACTGTTTCGGCGGTGCTTTGGTTTAATTTGGATTTGTAGAGAAAAATTGGCCGAAAATCGCTTAACAGCTAAGAGGCGAAAAATCAAAATGACACACATGACATTAAAACGGACAAAACTTTCAGAACAACTTGATATTGACAACATTTTGAATTATCCCAATGTCATTATTTTTTTCTGTCAAATTACCTCCTCATTTGTTCTTTCAGCATTATGTAAACTTGCCAATGCAGGGACATTTCTTGGCCATGAAACCAAAGGATCATACACAAACGGTGCAACAATAGACATAAGAGTATTGGCATTCATCCGAAGAACTCTCAGTGTGCAAGCACAAGATTTCCTGAATATTCCTTCAACACCTAATGGTCCCATCGCTGCCACCATATTATGAGTCAGTCGGAATGGTACTCTTTCTGGCCAGTCGAATTTCTCTCCTGAAATGATTTTCCCCTTTTCATTTGATGTAGATATACTTCATTGTCTATATGAAATATACACTCCATTAAGATTTGAAAAGTAAAACTGAAACCTCTGTCATAAAATAAATCCAAAACCAGCTCGATTCCAAAACACCAGAACTACAATACTCTTCTCGACCCGCATTTCACCAACCAATTTGGCGTCTTCAGGAGATGAAGTACAATGACTCGTGACTGAAGACGCCAACTTGTTTCGCGAAACACGCGTAGTTGGGATTTGGGAATAGAACTTGTTTTTGATTCAAGAGATCTGTTAAAATATGCTACAGACGTTAAAATGAAAGCACACAAAAAAATTAAACCATTCCACAAACTTCCTCTACATTTCCTGAAATAAACTTGTCTTCTTCAATAAAAAAAAACAATTTTTCAAATGCTTTTTCTTTTCTAATATGTATTTTCTAATATGTAGGAGATAGTTGGAGGGAGGATAGTGGAAAGTCGGAAAGTGGGTGAGTAGAGAAATTGTGAGAGGAAAGGACAGAGGAATTTATGAAAGTAACATTCATAACATTTTCATGTCATAGGTCAGTGAATTTAAAATTAAGAATAAAAATTACAAACATTACCTACTAGTTAATTTATAAGTACAAAGTACACTTTCACAAAATATGTTTTTGACAGAAGGAGACATTTCAAAACAATTATCATCTTTACAAAGGTAATGTTTTCAATGAAAATTTATTTGTAATGATAAATATTCTCTTTGAAGCTAAACAGTATTATTTAAGATGCCTTTTCAATGCAAAACATCATTATTTGGAAAGAAATTCAAAGGCACTAAGGGTATCAGAACTCAAATTTGGCATATATTTCGAAAAGAGATTGAGTAGTAATTTGAATTTATTTTTCCAAAAATATAAAAAAAAATCATTTTCTTAAGCACTAAATTATATTATTACCAATGTCAGGGAAAATGATTTAGAGTTCAACAAAAGTAAGTCTCCACATACTTTTGTTCAAGAGATTTCTTCCAAATGGCATTCATCCAAATTTATACAAATAACATAACATGTGGTGTATCGCAAGGATCAATTATGGAACCAGTTTCAATTTTTGAATTAGAAATGTTTGCCGATGATCCAACTTTAATATAGAATCTGAATAGAGTACAATAAATTGAAATGAATATTTCAAAAGACATTATTCAAATACCATTATGGCTTTAATGTTATAAAATGGCACGGAATTTTCGGAAATTTTCGTATGTTTATATTAATTGATTTAAAAGATCTAGTAGCCAAATTTCATACTACAGTAATAAATACTCTCTTAGTACAAAATTTGTTCCAAATCTTGCAACTGTTTTGATTCCCTCAGGTACTAAAAAAAGTGAAACTCATCTGGAACAAAGAATGTGACACACTCACACATACGCACGCACACGGATGAAACAAATATAATCTGGAGGGGGGGGAGGGTAAAAGTATTGATACATCGGAATCTGATTCACGTCGGGAGATTAGCAAATTAGCTCAAAGTACATCTGAGGGTGGTACCCCAATTTTGGCTGGATATAAGATAGGAACGATACCTTCTTCACGAATGCACAGTCGATAATATATTATGAATGTATAGTAAATACGAGTACACGATTATTTTTATAACTAGAAATATTTACTGTGTAGGTAGGTATATTCGAAACCCAGCAGTGACAAAATGACAAAAAATATCTATCTCAACTACTTATGCGAGAGGTGTGACATAGTTCTTTGTGCTCAAATAACAAAGAATTATTAATTTATATTGTAACAACAGGCTCATTATCACTTTTTTCATCTTTCCAAAAATGAAGCTAGCATATATTGAAGAATAATGGTGGAAAAATAAATGTGCGAAAAATGTTATGCTTCAGCCTCAAAGAAGTCAGTTCAATTAAAGAGGGCTTGGCTTTGTGTGACGTCACCATATACAAGAAATAAGCAGCAGGCTAGAAATCGTCATTAGTTTCAGACGTTTCTGTGTGAGCTGTGTAAAGGTACAATTATTATTTTAATGTTGGAGGATGGATTAAGTTCCAAATGTACGAATTCAACTCGAAATGCACCAAACACCACCAAATCGTGAACAAAAGTATGGCAAATAGCTATATGAAGAAAACAGTTGAATGAACGTTTTTTTGTTACGAATATCATTTTAACTTAGGTATTTCAAATCTATTTCAAAGTATAGCATTCCAGTATTATTGATGAACAAAAAATTTGTTATCCGTTAATCAGCTGACGCCCCTTACGAATGGCAACCCTCGTCGAAACTCGTATGAGCTAAAGATTAACGTTTTAACGTGCGATTCCTAGCACGGGATAAAAAAAAGGTGAACAAAACTATATTCATCACCTAAAGTGGCCAATAATCAAACCCTTTTACTAAAATGATTACAATAAATCATACCTACGTAATTCATTGAAATGTCATTTTATTTCAGCAACCAAAAGATATCAAGAATTTAATGTATCTGAAAGTTACTGAAAAATGCGTGATACGAATAAAACCAGGTGTGGTACCACACATTTTTGATTGTCAAACCTTGTTCCTACAGCTAATTGGTTGAAAAGAACAGATAATATAGGTATTAAGCTCTAAAATGCCTTATCTGTCGAATTTCGTAACTTGCCATTCAGAAGATTCAAAAACTTATTGAAGAAAATATTAACCAAACATCCATTATATGGAATTGATCAATTTTTCGAAGTTATTCAAAAAGAAAGAGACAATTTTTTGGTCACTTCCTGAACTTATTCTCAACTTTAAATAGATATAATATGTCAATTATGTGATTTATGGTTTGTAAAATAATCATGGTTTTGTGTTTTAGTCAATTTCTATAAAATTTGAATTTTATCTTAATAGCTTGTATTTTTTTGTAAATCTAATGCATCTATAAGCATGTTTTAGAAACTGTATTGACAAATATTATCCTCCTAAACTTATTTAAAAATTGTGTCTTTCTAAAGACTAATAAAATTATTAGGTATCATTATTGTTGTCAGAAAAGCCACACTCATTAATAAAGTGTTTAACCTGTATCTGTAAAAAAATGGGAAGGAAAGGTTAAATTTTGGATTTGGATACTTTGTATCAATCATCACCATATCACACAATATTTGATAACGTATCTTGATAACGGTAAATGTTATTGATTTGAAACATTCGCCAGGATATTCTGGATGCAATATATATACTGAAGAAACTAATATACTGAAGAAATATATTAATTTCACTTGGAGCACATCTGTACAATTTCTAATTCAGAATTCATGCCAATCGTGTTGAAAAAACAGTTTCTACTTTAATCAGCTCACGCCCCATTACAAACGATAACTCTTCTGAATCAAATCTTAGTGCACACTGAAAATTAACGAGGTCTTACTTATCAATGTCCGATTTCTAGCACGGGTCAGACGGTACGCAGTGAAAATCCAAAACAAACCACTAATGCTAACCATCCGGCTATCAACCGACTGACTACTTACTTCTAATCTTGAAAAATCTGCAGTCTCCTATGGATATTTACTTGAAATAAATCACATGAAAAATTCATAAATTTTCTAACACCAATTATAATAATATAAGGAAACCAATAGTGATTTCATCGAATCGAACTCAAATCAGTCATTGTAACCAATTTTCCCATCATTAGAAGACTCGACTCTATACGAAAGTTTGGTGATTATTTTCTCTCAAGAATAATTTTAAAGCATTTCAAATTCCTGGTTTGCGACTAACCTTTGTTGAACAAACAGTTGAAGTCGACATGCACCACATCCCCGCAAGTGGAATCCAGCAAAATATTTTCACCATGACGATCTCCTAATCCAAGAATATATCCAACCATAGACATGACTGCAGTTGTACGAACGTAAGCTGTTCTTGCAGTTAGCCAACTCTGAAAAACGTTAAAGCACATTTTATTTCATGATACTGAATATCTCTATCTTTTCAAAAATTATGGATTACTTTGATATGATAGTTGATTACATTTTGAGACATAAATCATTAATGAGACCACTGAAGCACAAATTTATAAACTGTGTACCTGAGCATCTGGAAATGTTTTCCTAAACCAGTCACCTAATATAGGAGGGTGCTTTGCCAACAACTTCTTTGTAAATAGCTCCCTTTTCCTCTCTAATGTATCCCTTAGATTAGCGCTGGCTTCTTTCAAAGCTTTACTGTTCATCGATATACCTAAAAAATGGAAGTTCAACTTCTAGTAATATTCATTTTTGTAACTTGCCACCTCTTTGTTTATATAGAGACACCAATATGGGTCTGATACCAACAAGATTCGATACCCACTCAATCAGACCGCACTCTTCATTGAGAGGTGCCACAGAATACAATCTGATATTCAACCTTCGCTGCCTAGCTTCTCCTTCTCGTGATAACAACTGATTCACAATATCATTGAACTCCATCAACCTGAAGTCTTTTCTCAAATCATCCTTTGGCTTCAACATGTAAATATACCTGAAAATAACAACTTACTAGCCAGTTTGATATTATCTGTGTATATTGAACATTTTGAATGACAGAAATATGGATTAATCTCGGTGAATTAGCTTAATATACAAAAACAAAAAAATGGTTTTAAAACAAGGACTTTTTTCAATCACCAGAACTGCAATACACTTCTCGAAGCGCGTTTCCCCAACCAAGTGGCGTCTTCAGATTTCTTCATTTCCTGAAGACGCCAACTTGACTGGTGAAACGTGCATCGAGAGGAGTATTGCATATTTGGTGATTGGAAAAAATGCTTGTTTCGAATGTATTCTTTGCCAGAGGTTGCAGTTTTACTTTTTATTATTAAAAGAGATGCCTACCTTTTTCCATCAGAACCTTTCAAAGTAATTTTACGTGGTCTTTGGAGACTCGGTAATATATTCATTTCATCCTCAATACCCACAATGTGCACATAATGGTTAGGAAAAGGATTATGTTGAGTACTGGTAAAGTCAGGATTAGGAAGAATAAGTTTTCGGAACTTATATGTTGGCATCATTATTTCACTGAAATCATCCTTTGCAAGCAGCCTAAAATAATAAATAATAATAATAATAACACAAAACAACGAGACTCAAACTCAGTAGAATTTCACTCACCTAGGAAGAGTTCTCAATAAAGAACTCACGCTATGCTTTGTATCATCAGAAGGTAACTCTTTATTACATAACTCTATAAGTTTCTCAGCCAAACTGGTGAAATCCTTTAGTAACTTTGAAAAAGTATTCGTCTTGAGTCTAGGGTCACATAACATTTCGGCACATCTTTTAGATCTTACAGAATAACTTGATTTAACAACCGAGATGATCATCCATAAACTTTGTTGAGGATAATGCTGAACTAATTTGATGATTATTGATTTGAGCATTACATAAACCTAAAAATAATGATTGAATAAATAGTAAATCAAGAATGTTACCAAAAACTGTGACTTCATAAATTCTGAAACATTCACTCAATTGCTATTTCCATTTCATCTATGGAAATATAGATAGAAACATAAAAATATATAGAGAAGTTATTAAAAAACAAAAAAAAACATCAAAGCTTAAATAGTCCTGTGACATATATTTCAACTAACCTCTTTTTGTGGATGACATATCCTAGAGACAAGTTGAGAAAAGGCCGTTAAAAATACATAGGGTGGCAATCTATCCAGAAATGAGTCTATTAGTTTTGTCATCCTCATCAGAGTGCACTTTCTCTCTTCCTTGGTTGTACTTTGAGTCACATCCAATAGCCTTGTTCCATAATCAAACCAAATCGAGAGTAATCGGGGCATTGACTGATATACATAGTTTGAACCATATTGCAGAGACTTGCCAAAGAAATTAATCATGTGTACTTGATGGTCTCCACCTTTTTGACTATCACGCTCTGCTTCACTGAAGTTTTGGAATTGCTTGTCATAGAACTGAGCAAGGCATACCTTGAAAAAAAGGGGCATTTGCTTATAATTATTAGGGCTGGTACTTTGAGATCCGATTAAATTAAATTCATCATCGATTACCTTTCAATCGAAAATTCGAGTACTTAACTACTTAATCAAAAGTCATTTAGAAGTGGTGTGTCACCGTCTGATTTGATGGTAAGCCATATTGTCAATCAAATATATTTAAGAATGGTATTTCACGACCCGATTAAATTAAATTGAACAGTGATCATCTCTCAATTTGAAATTCGAGAACTTTACTCGTGGATCAAAACTTAATTCGGATTAAAAGTGGGCGCTCCTCTGTATAATTAAAACGGCATAATAAATTGTCAACCAAATACAATTAATACTGATTAGTTTGATTACCCAGTGTTCTATGTTCTATTATATTTCTTTGTCATCAACATCCAGAAGGTTTCAAATTACCCAAAGGAAAGTTTTATTTACGTAACGTAATTAATGATTACTACAAACATGACTAATTCAACGACTCTAATTTTCTAATCACGATTTCAACTGGGGCGTAATAAACCGGTCTTTAATGTTTAAAAATCTGTTTAAAATGTTGTTCCGTTAACCAGCTGTCGCACCCCTACGAAAGACAACCGTCAGAAGTCGACACTTGTGCGAGCTAAGGACTAACGAGGTCTTACCTTTTAACGTGTGATTCCTAACGCGGGTTGGACGATAGCAAGTGAAAATCGATCGTTCAGCCTGGGTCTTGAACCAGCGGCAAACACGGCGGTCGATTTGAGTGAGTGAACAAAGCACCCACGTCGAACCGACTGACTACCGTCCGACCGTTGATCAGTCTGATTACCGCGCTTTAATTTGACTCACCTATTCAATGATTCATTAGAGTTCAGTGCACCAGTTTCATAATAGTCTAATATGGAAGAAATAAATGTTCACATATATTCAGTGGGCATACTTGAAGACTGGCTCTAAATCAAATTAACTAAAAGAACAATTTGTTGAGGCCTGAACAAAAAAATAAACAAAAATAATGAGACAAGCCATAGCATTGAAGTTTTGCCAGCAAACCTGTATGCCACACACGATCAAAGGCCTTAGAAATATCAAGCGCAAAAGCTCTCGACTCTCCATGTTTCTCGATTGCGTTATTCCAAATATGGGTACCAAACGATACAAGATCGCCTGTTGGTATTTGTTTCCAAAACCTATATTGATGATCGCTCAAGATGATGAAGCCTTCCAAATATTTGGAGATATGGTGGTTTACGGCTTTCTCCATGATTTTTGATATCACTGATAGCAAAGCGACTGCTCTATATTATTTGGAAGAGTGTTATTGTCATTTTTGGAAATAGCCTGAACGCGAGCAATCTTCCAACAAGAAAGAAACCCCCTTTTTCGTAAGACAGGTTGAAAATTCTGCAAAATACTGGTGCGAGTTCATTTGCGCAATTTTTAAGTACGATGGCGGGCCCTTCAATAGTGGGTGGTGCCTTTCCCAGAAAATTGACTATGAAGTGAGATGCAAATTGTTCAGCTAGTAGATTCGCTTTTTCTATGACTGTTATTGCAATTGAACCATCCGCTTGTATTAGTGGTGGAACTGTGGATTTTGTAAAATTCTGATTAACAGCTTCAGCTACCGACCAGAAGGATCTAGACTAGTTGGGATTGGCAAACAGTTTATCCCTAATTCTTTGATTGTGATTGCTTCAGCTTGGTTAGAGGAATGATACTCTGAACAGAATTCGATTTTCAATTATGGAATATAATCAAAGTTAGGTTGATGATGGCCATTACCTTGCACTGACGAGAGGCCAAATAGCCCAAAACTTTGCAAGTGTGCCCGTTCCTATAATTGAAAATTGATTCCAGCAGTTGTATCGCCAATATAATATGCAGGAAATATTTCTGTGAAGATTCCTGCACTGACACTTGTGGGATGTAATCCAACGCCCTTCGTGGGATTAGCCCGGGGAATAGTTGTTTTCTGATAGGTGTCAGTGCATTAATCTACAGTATAAGTCGAGATTGGCCTGAACAAATTGGTCTTTTAGTTAATTTGAAAAAAATGTTGAATCGAGAATAATGTAAGGGATGGTTCAGCTAAAACTGATATGGAATAAAATAACATAAAATATCTATTCAAGGACTAAATCATGTAGAGACGTACATTCTGTGAAAATAAATTTAGAAAACAATAGTACACTTTTGTGTATGCGAGATAATAAAATCGTACAAAATAGTTTTCAGGTGTTATAAAAGTGTGAAACATTCCTTCACTATGTATGTGAACGTTGTTATTCAGTCTTGCACAAAAGCTGTCTTCAAAAGATTTATAAGAATGAGTTAAAGTTTTTATGAGATACTATGCTGTGACATACATGAGGATCACTATGTTAGTGAAATTAGCATGTTAGACTAAATAATGAGTGATCTATTTTGCGATAACTGAAGGAGAGCATGAAAATATATTTCAGTCCTTTACCGTGTCATAATAGAAATGGCTTTATGAATAGTAGAGAGAAATTACAAACAAGTAAATCAACAATGACAAAAGCAGGGATCTACTGGAGGATTGTTACGCTGATAATTATGAGGGAATCAAAGCCCTAGTTTTCTACAAAATAAGAAAGCTGCCGTAGATCAGAGTTCAATCAATAAAGGACGAAAAGACGCTGAAGCTACTTCCAGGCAAATGTTTTGTATACCTCCAAAATAACTGTAGACTTGTAACTAAGAAAAATATTTGTACAGAATAACTTGTCAAATGTGTCATATATATAAAAACAAAAGAATTTCGTTCATAAGTTTAACAGACTGATAACAGATTTTTACACAGCTACTGCACCTTTTGAGGGAGGGGCTTCTCACCGGCCATGACTCAGTCCAGCAGCTGTACATTGGTTGAAATCAGATGAATTAGTTCTTATCCTCATTTACTCTATAATATCAAAATATTGCAGAACTACCTCGTCTAACGTGAGTTTTCTATTCTGTATACTGATCACTACCTTATTTATTCATTTGTAATTATTGCTCAGCAAGGTACCCTCAAAAGCAAACATCATAGACCTAAATATAAACTTGCAGCTGTAGAATTAGTTCAGACACAATCCCCGATAAATAAACTTTACATAACCTTTCTACAAAAAATGAAGGACACTACAGAAGTAGAAAGCCAAAAACTAATATCTCCTAAAAATATACACCTTTTGATTTAATATATTGGTGTAATCCTGTAAACTGTTGATTGAAAAATGTGTCTAGTATATTGTTATAAAGCCAAACCTGGAAATCAAAGGAAGGACTCTGGTTATCTTATTTCCAAAATGTACTGTTAATGATGAAGAATGGTGACGAATAATTAAGAGAGTAAGAAAGGCCAGGCAAGGTTGTGCTCCAAAAACTTCAACGCTATTCATATGATCATTTACATATGTACAATATTTGCTTACCATGCTCTTTTCCCACTGATTAAACATATTGGTAGCTTCCACGTAATTTTTGAGATTGACAGCTGCATCTACATTTGAAATTTCATCATTATAAGTTGCAACTAGCAGTTTAGCTTCCGCACATAGCTTTCTACAAATGAAAACATTATGATTTTTCTCATTTGAATAATTGGTATCAACATACCTCTGCTCTAATGTGATGGATTCTGCAGTGCTACACTCTGGAATTATAACTTCTAGACCTCTTCGTAAGGTAGTAAAAGCTTGTTCGTGTTCTTCCCTGAGCCAATGCAGCTTTGCTTTTTCTAAAAATAGTGTTGGAGGAGCATACTCTTCTGCCTTCACTGTATAAGTGAAAGCTTGTTGGTGCATCTATAATAAAAACCATGGGGTAACAAACAGGATCCAAGTTTTGAAAATCATGATCAACTATATATTCAATTGGACAAACTGAAAATATGCTCAGCTATAGATTTGTTCAACTCACCCCCGATGCTCTTGCTATCCTGGCACTTTGCAACCAACAGTCCCCAATTAAAGAATTTAAATATGGAACAGCTCCATTGATTTTGTCTTCAGCAATTTTTTTTGCAAGACCTAAGGAAACCCGTCTCAAACATAACAGTGGTTCGATTATTCTGACAGATTCTTCTACAACCTTGAAAGGTTAAAATTATATTCTGCTTGATTTTATGAGTCAAAATCGCTTTTCTAGTAGGCAATGCAATGAAAAATATTACGCAAAATGCCAAGCTCACCTTAATTCTCAGTGTCCAATCATTCATAAGTTTTTTCATTAGATTTTCTGCATATCGCTGGTCGAATGGTTTTACCAGTAAGTCTGATATAACTTTTTCTACCTGTTGAAGTTCATTCAAGGCATGCAATTTTGAAATATATCCATAACCGTGCTGGTAGGCTCCTTCTTCCAAACTCGCAGCACCGAAAGACAATACCTGTTGCTTGAGTATTCCATCTACAGTGCCACTAAACTCACTTCTTTCACCTAAAAATATAAATTATTTTTTTGTGATTAGTCCACAAAATAGTTGACGTAGCAAACTGTCACTTAATATTGTGCGTGATGGGTAAAAGAAAGTTAAATTTTGTGGCACACTTTCGGAAAGACTGTGTGATTCCTATTTGCAAGTGTATCAGTTGTCAAAATACAGTGCCAAAGAGCTTCGAAAGTTATTGGCATTTTCATCTGAAACTTACAGTTATTGTTATTCACTATATCTTTAACCTTCTCAATCCAAATATGATGGGTGTCTAATTGATGAACTGCCTATTATAGGTGTAATACCAATGATAAGGCTCATATTTTCAGGTTATGACACCATAAGAGTGACTAGCTTGATGGTAATCAAAGTATATGGAACAATTTTTATAACTGCAAATTATATATTTTTAAAGCAGGTCTAGGCCCATAACCTATAAAATTGTGTGCAGAAAGAATGGGCAAGTCAATTATAACTTTGAATAAATTGAAGAAAAAATACTGATTACAATAACATTTGTCGTTATATCAAGTATTGAAAAAAATATATAAATACTATTAATAAATAAAATGAAATTTAATAAGGAACCTGTTGATATCTTACAATGGTAGTGGATTGGCTGAAAGTTCAAGAGTTTGAACACATGAGATTTTATGTAACTATTGTGGATTGATGCTGCTATGTTATTTAGCTGATAGATCAAGAAAGAGCCATAGTAGTTCCTACGTTGCTCTGGAAGCTACTAACAGAGTCTATCCAGGACACAAGATAAGGTACAAAAGCTCATGAGGTTTCAATGTTGTAAATAAAAAAAAAACAATCAAGGAAATTATGGGAATTAAAACATACCATTTTTGAAATGCAAGAGAGCTTTTCCAACTTGTACTCCCCAACTTGTGTTTCCTACCACATCCGGTGTTTTAAGTAGCTTGTCCAGATCATCATACTGACCAAGCCGCCACAATGGTTCTGCTTGCATTTCCAGAAGCATATTTCCAAACTCTGGTTGTATATCTAGAGCTCCTTTCACAAAATTCAAGGCAGTATTGACATTATCCAAGTCCAGATAGCACTGCACTAAACCCTACGAAAATTTCACAATAAAAATATTTCCTTTTCTAACCACCGGATATCCCATCAACCTGGATATGATGTAATTTAAGCGGTTGAAGCATACGTTCATAACAAGTTGTTGCATCAGCAAGTTTGCCTGATACCTCAAGTGCAAGAATTCGTTGTTCCACAGACGGTTCATTGAGCTGAAGAGCTGTAACACCAGCAACACCGTCAGGCTCTTCTAATTGAGCATAAATCTGAAAGAATATGTTGTTATCACCTTGACAAAGTATTTATATAAACACCTACAAACCTCGGCTAAAAAGGTCAAGTGATTGTAAAGTTCATTCTTATTTTCTCTTACATAATCCTCCAGGTACATTAGAGCCCTTGGATATTCCCCACAGTGATAGTTGCATTTAGCTAACTGCAGTTTACACAGTTCCTTTTGAAAATGCTGAAAATGGAACATATTGAACTCTCGTATTTAGAAATGAATAAGAAAATAAACATACTTTGAGAACTCTAAAATGTTCGTTAGAAATTCCAACAACGCCTTTTTGCCACTGCCATTCTCTAACCCAGCGATCCAAAAAATCTAATAGCAAAAATACAACTTTTGTGCATTGCATTCTTTTTACCTCTTCTGGAGTTATAATTTGAGGTTCCACTGCTAATCCAGAAATTGGTATAGGCCTCAGCTGCAAATGACTCAATTTCGAATTATAACTATAAATTATTTTCATTCTCATAGTTATATTGAGTTATAATAGTAATAATGAAATATTTTTAAAATACTACTGCAAGGAGTAGTTGTATACTGGAACATCCTAGTGAATTGATTTGTCACTAAGTAGAATTCTCGCAAGGTTAAATGCTTATAATGAAATTTATTTCTTTTCACACATCCAAATAACAAAAATGTTCTCGAAGCTAGGCTCATAGTTTATTAATTTTGGGTTTAACTTACGTAAATGTTATAATTTTCACTTGTGTGATTGATTTGCTGCTCACTTTTTTATTTTTAAATGAAAACATGAAAACCTAATTTGAAGGTAAACATTTTCAAGTTCTCATCAGATTAATTTGATATGTCGGTGTCGGTGACAGGAGTGGTTCATCCTACTCATTCAATTGAACGGTGGGTCAAGCCCTACGGTCGGACGATCGATTTTCGCTGCTTATCGTCCAACTCTTGCTAGGAATCGCACGTTGAAAGTTAAGACCTTAGGTGAAACTTTAGCTCTCACAAGTTTCAACTTTTGAGGGTTGTCGTTTGTAGGGGGCGAGAGCTAGTTGACGAAAAACAAAGTTACCCACCCTTCTTACACTTGGCTGACGAGGCCAATAGCCAGAAACACGTGTCCAATAAATGGATGACATCTTACTTGAAAGACCGGGAATAATATGTAAAAGTTTCGGGTGCAGTATCTGAGAAAAAAAATTGAGCAGTGGAGTTCCACATGGTTCTGTCTTGGGACCCATATTATTTTTGTTATATGTAAATGATCTCACTAACTTGAATATTAGCGGTAGGTTCACTTTATTTGCAGATGATGCAACTATTGAATGGCACACTAAAGATGAGAATAATCTCAGCCAATCGATATCTACAGATCTAGCTGAAATAAAAAAGTGGTGTGAGGCCAATCAAATAGTGTTCAACCCTAAGAAAACTAAAGTGTTATAATTTAAATGGGACATTGACAAAATACAACTCAAAAATGACACTCATGAAATCTGATAATAATTATAGATTCTTAGGCACTGTATTGGACCATAATTTAAAGTTAAATGAGCATATTATGACAATGGCAAAGAAATTGTCATCTGGGTGTTATGCTATCAGAGTTATTCGAAATGACATCAGTCATCTTATTGCTAGAAAAGCCTACTTTGCTCTCCTGGAATCTCACATCAGATATGGGATAGCATTTTGGGGAGCCTGCTCACAAGCGTTGTTTTCAATGATCTTTAATCTACAAAAAAACGCTGAGATACATATGCCATGTTAACCATCAAACTTCATGTAAACCCTTATTTATATCTCAGAAGATACTTACGATATACATCAATCTTTGTGTTGGAATCAACTAATTTAGATAATAAGCATAAACTACATTTAATCTACATTAAATTCTGATACTGCACATAACACTAGGGCAAAATGGCCAATATATACCTATGATCCCCAGAACCACTTAATGCCAAAATTCAATTATTTACAATGGTACGAAAATGTTCAACCATCTACCGAAGCAAATTAAAAATATACATAGCACTCCGAAATTCAGAAGGGCTGTAAAAACATTTTTAATCAGAAGATCTCATGATTTGAGGGAGTTTTTCGAACAAAATTTTTAATAGCTAAGACAGCAGTACAAAATATGTCGTATCCATGTCTCACACTAACTAGTGTAAAGTATAGGTGTATATGTATGAGTATATATGTATGTAATTTTTAAAGGTCTCTTTTAATAATTAATGAATTATTTTATGGTGGACATATGTATATAAATTATGTTAATATTTTTATCATCTGACAACTCTGTCCTGTTTTGTGTTCATAATCAATTGATATAGAATAAACTAGGGAAAACTGTTTTTATATCTATTTCACTGTATTGTTGTAAATATATTTTATAATAGCATGACTCTATATACAGTGTGACTCACGGTCGATGGTAGGTTAGACGTTTCTGGAAAACGCAAAGCATGATTTTTCTGAAAATTTCACCTCTCACATTTCCTTACCTGTTCTATCGATCTGAAATATTTTTAGCATTGCGGCGTTNCCAAAATATCTACTACCAAAAAGCTGCTGAAATCAGTAAAATATCTGTTGGTTGAATTAAACAATCAAATCCAAACAAGTAATTATTTTGCTTTATGAATTTATTTTAATAGTATCATTGGGATGTTTAAAATCGAAACATTATAAAAAAAATTTAAATGATTGCTGTATGTAAATGGAAGATACTATTGCAGATATTAATGCAATAGAAGTCAAAATAAGAGTTTTTAGAATTCTCATCTGATTGTCTGTATATCTGTGCGTTTGTGCGTGCTAATCTTAAACCTTAACCGATTTGGGAGCAGTTTTCGCTTTTACATTGTAGTAAGTTCCACTCAACATTTAGTGTTTGAATTATTCAATCCGTTTGCAAATAAAAAATGTATGACAATTTAAAAATCCTGTTAAAAATGTGTTGGAGAAAATTCTATGAAAATAATGTTCAGTTGATTTGGCTGAAATTTCGGTTGTAAATTTGTCTTCTGACAAATCAAAAATAGGCAGATACATGAGAACATTTTACTATTAAAAAATCTGGGAAGACCCAAATAAGAACGAAGTCCCCAGTGTTATATAAACCATAACATCCCTAGAATTGAACACAAAAAAATAGAAAACTAAAAATTATTTTTAGTATTCTCAAAGAGAAAATTACGTTGAATATGTAGACTCAACAGTTACATCAGAGGTCATATAAAACAAATGATATAAAAACTGAGCCAGCCCAACTAGATGATTGTCTGCTCAATGTGAATGAACAAAAATATCTGTTCTTTAATCTACTATTTCATTGAACTATGTTTTACAACACAACGACAATTCAACCTAGTCATACTTCAATTCATTAGGATATCGAAATGTCAAATTTTCATTTCGCCACAAAGATAATCCAACATAGGGAGAATTCGATGCAATTAGACAATTAGAAACAATGAAACATATCTATCACATACATACTTACACCAAGTGCTTTTTTTTCCAAAGATTTTTTCCTCGTAAATGAACTTGTTATCGTTTGAATCTCAATAAGACACTTCTCTGCAATTCTGTCGTTTCCTTCCAACAAAGAATGAAGAAGAATGTGTGGCAAGAAGTGCATTAAAACTCGCTTATCTTGTTTCATACTCGGCAAAATAACTTTCAGAAATTCTATTTTATCATGTGGTAGTGATGAAATTAAGCTAGATGTAAAGCTGCAATAAGGTCGTTATTATACCAATTGATTTTGAATTTTGTTTATGTTCTTACTTGAACAACCACGACTGAAATGACGCTCCAGAGTTACTACCATAGATTGGACTTGGTAAATTCGTTGGCAAAATGCAATGGGAGATCATGTATCTTGAAGAAAGTAAGGGTAATATAATCTCCTTCTGAGAATCAGGGAAGTCTTCCCAAAGAGAAAATTTTTTACTACTCGTATCAGGAGATATTTCGTAGGTTCTCAACATTTCCTGAATGGCTAACGCATATCTGTCCAAATTCTAAAAACAATATATTAAATAAATTTTATCAAATTCCATTTAAGAATACATATATTCCCACTATTCATTAAAAACCAAAAAATGAGCATTTCATCATAAAATTGCTTCTCAATCTATAAACAGATGTTCTAATTTTGAATCAGTTACCTTAGGAACTGTCAAATTGTGGTTGTGAATAAAATAATAATAGTAATACACTGGCAACTTCACCATTAGGACAAACACTTGAAAATTTGGTTCGTTATTTACCTGTGTATTTTGCTCTGTTTGAAATGCCCTGATCAATTCATTGAGTGAACTCACAACAAACGAATCTTCATTCATGTAAAAAGAAAAAGACTTCTCCTCATGAACATATCTGAAAGTAAGAAACAAACTGTTAATCAATACTTGAAAAAAATTGTTCAAAAAGTTTTTCTAGATAAACGAAGATAACTGAAGAATGACACATTCAAGCAACTTTCTTGTTTTGTTGTTACAGAAGATTATATCTCATATATATGGTTACTCGATAAATCAGTATGATGCAGT